GGGCGGCAGTACGGCGCCGTGCCCGGCTCCTCCTCGCAGATGTCGGTGCACATGGTGTGACGGCCGCTGCCCGCCGAGCCCCGGCCCGGGCTGCACGGGCGCACCCTCCTCCTCGGAGCCCAGGGCCTTGCAAACGCAGCAGCTGCGTGTTTGGGTGGTTTTTGTTTTTTTTTTGTTTTTTTCTGGAGGAGGAAAGCGTATCCCCAAGAACAACGAGAGACGTTTGAGCCACTGAAGCTATGCTTGCGTGGAATCATCTCTGCCCCAGTGGCCGTGCTCCTGCCTTCCCAAAGCTTAGTTTTATAAAGCAGCGTCTGCTCCAGAGTGGTCTTTGAAGAAAATGAATAATCGTTTTATAATAATGTTAAGGGAGATGCTAGCGTTTAGCAGCCATGAAGTTAGCCACACGACATACAGACCTACCCATACGTACATACGTGCGTGCATGCATATACACATGTTCACACACAGACTCATCCTTACACACATACACGTACACTGACTCGGAACTGGGCGAACTCTGTGCAGGGAGGCCCGGAATGGGTGCTTTCACCGAGAATTTGTCTGTGTACAACACTAGACGGACCTTTCTCCCCTGCAGCTTACCCCGTTTCTGGAATGAACCGTGTAGCCTGGAACCCCTTCCCATCCATGAGGGTGGAGAGACATCAGTACTACAACTGGACTTGGCTTCTTGAAGAAAATTGCTTTTAAACTTTGTCTGTCTGCACTCAATATGCTATCGGTGACGTTCCCAGTGGTGCCTGAGAAAAGATGGAAAGAGAGAAAGAAGAAGAACAGGGCGAGAGAGAGGCGGCGAGCAAGACTGACAGAGCAAGTGTGCGCAGTGACGAGAGTTTTAATTCACCCAGGAAATTTGGTTTGTGTTTGTTTCTCCCCATCCCCCCTACAGGTTATAGAAAGAATCACGGTGGTGTTGAGCAGGAAACGTGTCTGGGACACTGTGCGTGGTCAAGGGCAATGATGAGAGGGACCAGGCGAGGGATGCATCTGGATCCCGCAGCTCTGACCATTGTGATCCAGAAGAGGGTGCGCCACGTGGGAAGTGCCGATGGATGCTGGAGCGCGAGGCCTGGCAGGGGAAGGGACGGAGAGGGAGTGCGAAGGAGGGGTGCTGCAACCCCGCAGGTGAAACCAAGCGCAGAGGCGACAGAGAGGCCTGGCCTTCGCACTGCGGATCCAGACACCTGGCCTGGATCCGTGCCCCACAGTCCCTGTGGCAGGGAAATCCTGTCATGTCCCAGGGAATTGCAGACAGGTCTTCTACATCCTTCCACCTGCCCTTAGATCTCCATTTTTATCAAATAGTTCGTTGCATTTTGATGTTTTGGGTTTTTGCCTTCCCCTTTCCCTTCCCCTTCAAGTCCTTTAATGATAAAACAAGTGGAGTTTGGTGCAAGCTAAACTTTTTAAATGGTGTGGAAATGCAAATAATACCAAGTAAAGTAATACAGATATTATTAAGATTTTTGGTTTTGAGGTGTTGTAGATAAGTGTATTTATGTGCCTAGTGGGGGAATTCATATTATGAATATTAAAAAAAGGGGGCAATAAAAAGGGTATGTAAAATATGTATGAAGAAAAAGTGTATAAAAATTTGCCCTTATGCACGGAACTCTGTTTCTAAGTGCCAAGCACAGAAAGCCGCTAAATAAAATCTTTGCCATTGTTTTCTGCGTGTTTGTTTCTATGGAAACATGAATAGCAGCCCGTGCGCGTGCATTGCGCTTTACGATGAGCGTGGCACTCTCATCTCCACTACTTTACGTGATCTCCATTCAGACCCCATGAAGAAAATACTACCATCCTCATTTTATGATCAGTAAGTGGGCTCCAGGGAGGTGGAGCGAATAATCCAGAATCAGACAGCCTGTCAGAGAGGGAAGCAGAACTGAAGCCAGGTCTGATTCCAGTGGGCCCTGCACTTTTCAGATTAGCCACAGACGCCTCCGTGAGTCTAAGAGCCTCCCTCACTGTAGCCACGGGCTAGACATTACATGACTATCTCTAGCATCCTCCCACAATTCTGTGAGATACATATTTTCATCAGAATTTCAGAGATCTGGAAATAAGCTTTAAAAAGGTTAAGTACTTAATGGAGGCCCTCAGGTGGCAAGTGGTTGAGCTGGCAATTGGACCATAAGGCCTCTGCAATTAACACTGAGTCATCCCTCTGGAGCCCAGCAGTCCCCTGAGGAATAATCAGGAAGGAAGCTACATCCTAAGGGGTTGAGTGAAGAGCCTCTGTGGCTGGATTTACTTGGTATGTTTAATTGTAAATATATACCCTCTCTTTGGACTATACCACCACCGCACGGGAGGAGGGATTTTCAGTTGTCATGCACCAAATGATGACTTCTAAGAGACTAATGAAGTGCCTAGGGCTCTTCCACATATAAGCACTTTCCCATATTATCTCATTTGAACCCTGCAGTAACCATGAGATGTGGACAGGGCAGGAAGTATTGTTTTGTAAAAGGGAGGGTAGGATTAGAAATGTTGTGACATACTTGTATTTAAATGAGGATGGGAAGCAGCAGAGCCAGGACTTGAAATCTCCTTTCTTACCCCTGCCCCGACCGTTTCCTGGTGGACAGTTACACTGGGAACCCACTGACCCATTTCACCAGGGCTCACGTTGTTGACCATCACACTCATTCGTTGGAAATGGAGCTTGATTTGGGGGAGCAAAAGCCTTAATCAATCATTGCTTTGGGTTTATAAATAACTTCAAAGAGTGGCATGTGGGTTAATTCCATTAAGTCACCAAACCACCGCCTGAACAGCTTAGACAATGGCTGACTGAGGACCTAGTGGTTTTAGGCTCTCTGGATATGACATGTCTCAAAACTTAAAAAGACTCCTCTATTTGGAAATCTTTTAGTCAACCCTTGGATTCAAATGGTAGACCTAAAA